CTTCACTGAGCTAAGCTTCTGTTCTAAGTGGAGTTAGGGCCCTGTGGCCTCCTAGGAGTTCCTCTACCAACACAGGGTTCCTTTACCAGTACCGATCCCAAATTGCTCTTGGTGATGCTTGTGCAAAGGGGGCCCCCTACAGTCCCAAATCTTGCACTGCAGGTGGCATTCCCAGTCCTTCCCTGCTCCAGCCCTGCAGCAGGGGAGGGTCTAGTGAAGGAAAACAGAAACTGCTGAATGTGGAGCTTTGAGAGCCCCAGGGCATCATGCATTTTAACCTATCTGTTGTACAGGTTGGAAAAGTGGTGCTTATTTGCCCACGGCCACACACCAGCAGAGCCAGGACTGGAATCCAGGTCTTTAAAATCCTGCCCAGTGTTCTTTCCACTTAACATTGAGTCCCCCCCGCCCCGAGTCAGATTTAGGCTCGGTTGGGGACCTCCAGAGGCCCTCCATTGCCGTAAACATGCAGGCTTTATCCGGTGGAGCTGGAGTGGCAGAGGAGCAAGTAGGTCAGATGCCTTTTCTCAAGGGCATCAGGGGCTCTTGGGTGCTCTCTAGGGGGACGGAAGCGGAGCCATCCAGGACTCTCAGAGTTGTGTGACCCGCCCTGTGATGGACTAGCTGGGCAATTCTGTAACTCTCTGAGCCCACCCTCCTCATCTGTAAATCAGTAAAACCATCATCCTCGTAATTCCTGCTTCATAGGGCTGCCGTGAGGAATAAATGAGATAACAACACATGAAGGGCTGCACAAGGACAGTGGTTACCATCCTTCCCCAGCTACTTGGGGGCAGCATGGCTCTGCCCTCTGTAGGTCTGTGATAATATCAGGGCTGGCCGTCTCCCAGCCTGGCTAGCCTCTGGCTTTAGCTTGGGATGCCAGGCCTTCCCCTGCAGCCCCCAGTGAGAGAAGCAGGCAGTGGGCAGACGTTTGGTCCCTCAGCAGACATTGGCTTGGCAACCCAGCCTATTAGGGCAGAGAGGAGCTGGTGCCAAACCCCAAATGCAAGGGCTTGGCAGAAAGCTCTAGAATACCAGTCCACACAAGGCTTTGGGGTAGGTACGGGGTGGGAGATGAGCAGGCGGCTCCCACCCGGAACAGCATTCCTTGACCCTGCCTGAGAACTCCAGCAATTTTCAGTCCAGGCTGATATCAGAAAGGCCTGGACCATCTTACTGTCGTACCCTTTTGCCACCTGGCCCAGGGGACTCCTGGCCCTTCATGTATACTCCTTTGCCCACTGGGCCCAGAACAACTTTCACCCTTTTCTAGGAAAAGGTAACTGGGGGATGACTTCACACAGTGTTAGAGGGAAACCATAGCAGGAGAGACAGACAGACACAGGGCTGGGGTGGGGGGCCCAGTCCTGCTCTATTGTGCTTTGGAAAACTCCATCAATAATGTAAAGTCAAAGAGACTCCAGGTCTCAGGAGCTGGGCTCTGGGACACCAGGCAGCCAATCAGATACGAACCCCCCCCCCCCCCCCCCCCCCCCCCCGCACAACAAGGGTATGAGGTCATGGCTCCTCCCCACAGCTCTCCCTCCCCCTCCCCCACACTAAAGCTCCCAGGGAATTGGTATTCTGCAGGCAGCGCCCCAAGCCCGTGACATCCCCTGGCCCTGCAGATGACGCAGAAGTGCTGGGGCCAAACAAGGTACTGAGGACAGGGGCAGACAGCTCTAAAAGGCTTTGGAGCTGGAGGCGGGGCCCCATCTCTGGCCCACGGAATCCCAGGAGGGCTCCCAAATCCCTACTCTCCCTCCCATCTGGCAGGTGATTGCCAGACCTCTCCCCCTCCTCCCAGCAGCCCTGAAAGTCATGCCATCACTAACACCCCATGGAAGCTGCCTCTCAGCTCTGACATCTAGCTATAGATCCCACGTCTGGGCAGAGGGTCCTTATTGGGGCCAGGGCCTTGCACATGTCTCTCCCCTCTTGCAACCCCCAGTTTTACTCTCAGAAGTCCTAGCACCTTCCAGGTGAAAGCACAGCCTCGGTTGGTGCCCCTTGGCATTACCTGCACAGCTGTCCTTGGAGCCTGCAGAATGCACCATGGGCAGGAGAGTGGGCTGGGGCCCTGGCTGGAGTCTCACTGCGAAACACAGGGACAGGACGGGCACTCACATGGCTGCGAGTCTCCCTGTTGCCAGAGGAACAGCCTGAACTGAATGGCCCTTTCATGGGGCAGTGGGAGGCTAGCCGATTGGCTGGGATCCCCCATACCCCTCCCTGCCCAGTGCGGGGGCCCCTGCTGCCCAGCTCCTTTCAGTGTTTACCCAGAGCTGGCAAGTACAGGCACGAAGCTCCAGGCAGGCCTCCCCAGGTGTCCATTGCCTTGGACAATGGGGGCAGTCCCCTGCCCAGCTCCTCCTCCAGGCCATCTTCACTGAGGTGTCCTGACTCTTCCTTCTCTGTCAGAGATTCCTGTTGCTTTGCTCAGTTTCCCTCTCCTGGGAGGTGTAGCAGCGTTCCTCTGCACAAAGGCACTTGGCTTCCTGTTGGGACATCTGAGCCAAGCAGCTGTCACCACGGGCTGGCTGGTGCTGACACCTCTGAACCAGGCCCCAGGCATGCTGAGTACTTCACATGCAGCTTCTGAGTCCATCTTCTTCACAGCCTCACACCAACTCTCATTGGACCTTGCCATGTGACCCATTCTTCTAGGTGTGCTTCACACACAGAGCACCCCAAAAAGCCTTAGGGCAGGTTTAAGCTTGAATCCTTACAGACATAAATGTCTCCAACTTACAAACATCTTTGGACAGATTAAATTATTTAAATTAAATTAAAATTCAAAAAGATTCACAATTCAAAAAATAAATATATAAGAAATTTAAATAGGGAAACTTTCAAATGTTTTTAGCATTTGCATTTCTGAAGTTATTAAAGCTTGTAACTGCTCTAAGGCTTGGGACACAGTGTATTAACTCACTGAATCCTCCTGACTCCTTTAGGCGGTAGGTGCTGTGATAATGCCCATTTGCAGATGAGGAAATTGATGATGCTGGCAGTAATGTGGATTTCCCAAAGTCACACTGGGAGCAGTGGCAGAGCTGGGCTGGACCCGTGCTCTGTCTGCTACAGCTGGCTTGAAGCGCAGACCCCTGCTTCACTCTTCCCTGACTCTCCATGGGACGGGTCAGGCCTAGGACCCGTGGGTAGGGGTGTGAGGGAAGGACTGCCACAGGATCCAGGTGTCCACCGTCCAGCAACAGCATGGGGTGTACAGACTCCGGCAGGAGCAGTCCTCTGGATTTTCCACTGCAGGCGAATGAAAGCGAAGCCAGGCGCAACTTGAGCCCCAGAACAACACTGATAGGCTGAGAGATGGTCCAGGAGGCCTCCATTTCGCCCACTGTGCCAAGCTCCTGCATGTCCCCTGGTACCAGTGTCTACCCCAGCTCAGGGCCTTGGGTTCTTGGCCTGGTTATGAGCAAAGCCCCCAGCCTCCCACCCTGGCTGAAGCTTGGCCCACTCCTCAAGGTACCCATGCTGGGTGAGTCAGGGGTTGAAATGAACCCGTCCCCCTGGGGCAGCCACGGTCATTTCCTGTTGCTCATGTGAAGGGCTCCCTAACCTGCCCAGCCAGGGTAGGGACTTGCTCCCCAGGAATCCCAGGCACTCCTGGCCCGGGGGGCAGGGGATGGGTGATGCCCCACATCCCAGTAACCTTTACGGCCTCTCTCTCTGGCCAGATCTGCTTGGCTTTCTGGGGTGAAAGCCTGCTCTGCTACTGTGGCTTTGCCACTGCTTGGATAGAGAGCCTCTAGCTGAGTTTCGGAAGCACACCTAAACAGGGTTAAATCTCTTCCCTCCTGCTCAGGCGTCCAGAACAGGTGAGTGGGGAGTCCCACCCAGTCCCGCCAGGTGGTTGGGAGCCTCCTCAGTGGTGACCTCAGAGCTTCCTAAAGCCACTTGCTAACAGCATCAGAATGTGCTGACCTTGAAGGACAAAGTCTGTGAGAGGGGCCTGTTTCCTTCCATCTGCATTCTGACCCTCCCTCCCAGCTGCTAGGGTTACCTGCTGCACTCTCGGGGCACAAGTGTCGGGTCCTGGAGGATGGGATGAGGGAATCCTGGCAGGTGTAGAGGGCGTGGGTGGAGTAGGGGATTGGGGCGGGGCATATTTATGCTCAAACAGTCCTTGAACTCTGCTTACTCCTCTCAGGCCCCAGGGCCTCGGCCCCCTACCCTCCAGCCTGTCACTAGCCACTCTGTCTATCAGGGGCTAGCACCCAGTGATCCACCAGCCTCATCCTCTTGCCTGCCCTGGCAGGGGGTCATCCAAGGGAATTTGGGTCCATTTCTCTTTCTCCTGCTCCCAGTAGTTACCCAAGAGCTGGGGGAGAGAAGGAGATAAGATAAAGAGATTAGAGAATAAGGCAAGAATCTTGACTGGTGAAGAAGTGGGTGGGCCCAGGGCAGTCTCCATAGGGTGCACCTTGATTTGGGGTTGTGAGTGAGTGGGCATCTCTACACTTCCAAGACAAGGTAAAGAAATGGGCCTCCAGGAAGTATTGGGATCCTTAAGTTCTCTTTTCCAACCACCTCTGCCCAGGTACTCTTCTGGTGTTCCCTCCCCAGGGGAGAGCCCCAGTCTCCTTCCGTCTCCTCTAGGGCCTCGTCTTTCCTCTGTTCTCAGCCTCTGGGGGGGGCCTTTGGTCTTGGCCCTGATACCCACCAGGCCCAGTGGGGCGGCCTTCACATGCTCTCCCAGATTCACTGATGTCTTTCCTCTCGATAGAGTCCCAGAGAAGCTCAGATACCAAAGAGGCAGCTACTGACCTGTGTCCAGGGGCACTGGATGGGACTTGGGGGCTTCTTCTTCCCCAGCAGGGCAGGGTATGCAGTGGAAAGCCCAGAAGCTGGAGCCTGACTCCAGGCTGGGTAATCCGGAGCTCAGGTTACTGACTCCGATATATATAGTATCTTATCTGACCTCGCAGACTCGCAGAGATGGCAAGTGCAACTCACTTACATTCCAAGCCTGGGAGAATTAAAGGGGCAGTGGCATGCCCACCCTGGAGGGGCTGCCCTTTCGGGCCAGTGCCAGCCAAGGAGGTCTGTGAGGACTCTTGGAAGGGGGGTGTTTTGAAGGGGAACAATCCGGAGATTCAAGAGGAGACAGAGGACTGAGAAGATCGTGGAGGGGTGGGGGTAGAACTTGAGGCAAAAATACAGAGAAAGTGGATTTTCTGGAGCAGTCAGTCACAGAATTAGAGACAGGAAGAAGCCATACCGCTAATCCCACTCTAATTTTGAAACAGAGTAGACCTAGAGAAAGCAAGCAGCTTGCTCAAGGGCATGTACAGATAGTGAGAAGCAGAAAGGGGACTGTACTCAGGTTTCAGTCCAATATCCTTTTCTAATGGACTTCTAGGCCTGGGCTTGGATGCTAGTTCTTTCCTTTATTGGCTCTGAAATAGTGAAGAAGTCACTTACGTTCTCTAAACCTTAGCTATGAATCTGCAAAACAGGAATTTAATAATGGTCTATATTGTGAGGATTAAATAAAATAATATTTGTAAATTTCCTGGCACATCATAAGAGTTCAATAAATGATGATGATATTGAATACTTCCACTTATTATTATAATTAATGGTATTATTAGTAATAGCACCTTACCAGGTGAACCTTCCTAGGGAGAAAAGGAAGGTTACATCTGGGGAAGTGTTCCTTTCTAATGCCAGAGAACAGTTCCATGGTTTTCTGAACTGACCATGTCCCATAACTGGGAAGGGCAAACAAGGCTTGCCATCTTCCTAGATGTCCAGTCCACCAAGCAGAGAAAGGCCAAGCCCATTTGGGCTTCTTCCCCCTTTGCCTAGAAAAATACAGCAAGCGCAGCTTCCCCCAGGCCACCAGGAGAATGCCTGGCCCCTCCGGGGTGGTTCCACTCTACCTGTGCGAGGGCTTAGGATTCCAGGGTCACAGAGCCGGGCTGGGTGGGGTCACAAGAGGAAGGAACAGCGTTCTTAGCCTCTCTGGCCTTGGTGCACTTGTCTGCTCTCAGGACGTTTCTTGATGGCTCTCCCTGAGGACTGGGAGTACCCAGGCTGGTGCCTCCACCCTATCTTAGCACAGGCTACTGACTCAGCCCAGGTCCTGATGATGCACCTCATTCCAGTCCTCATTCTGACTTCAGTCTGACGTGCATCTGCAGCATCAAAAGAGGGGGGCCTGCCTCGACCTTAGCCCAATCAGCTCTCCTTTCCTCCGCTTTACAGGGGTCCATCTGGGGGATGTTCCCATGTTCGTTCCAGGGGAGGTGAGCAGCACTACTTCCAGCTCAGTCCCATTCTAAAAGCAGCCCGGTCAGGACGTTCACTCTTCAGGGAAGGGCTAGAATGGGTTGGCTAGGGCTTTCCTTGACTGTTAAGAAGTTGCTCTCTTCGGTGCACCGCGTGCCTGCTTCTGGTTTGGGATTGGTGAGAATTTCAAAGCTGCCTCTTTCTGGTTTGGGATTGGTGGAAAATCTTGCCTTCCGCTTAATTGTTGCCCCCCACCAGCCCCCAACCCCCTTTGACGATCTGACAAGCTACAGCCCCGGGAGCTTTAAGAGCAGCGAGTGAGCTGCAAGCACACGTGGGGAGGGGGTTTGTCCGTGTCACTCTTGGGCCACAGACCACCGATATACACAGGGCACAGCAAGGAGGACCCGCCGAGGCAGCATTTCCTTAGAATACACTGATCAGCACACAGATGGCTCTTCCTGGCACCCTGGGTTTCAGCAGGCAGCCCCCACACAATTGGCAGCCACAGCTGGAGCGCCCCTGCACAGCCGACTCTCGCCCTGTATTTCTAGTGCCCATTCTGCCCAGGCTGTCATGGACACCTTACTTTCTGAGCCCCAAACCGGCACTGATCCCCGAATCCTCCCTCCCGGATCCTCGACAGGTGGCACTTACCTGCCTCTTATTGGAGGATGGACGAGTCGAACCGGGCACAAGCATGGAGCTGCTGGTGAGACCCGGCTGGCGCTGGCAAGGCGCAGTGAGCAGCAGCTGACGCAGAGGACTCCCCGGCCTCTGCTCCTGCCTGTCTCTCCCCCACCTCAGCCGGGGGCCCAGAAGGGACCTCCGCGGGAAATCGGCGCCACCCAGCGGACAGCCGCCTCATCATTCCTGAGCCGGCAGAGCCACACCCCGCGTCTCGCGTCACTGAGACGCGTCACGGGTATTGGCTTGTTCCTATTATGGTGTCACTACAACCCGGCCCGGCTGGGGTCTCCCAGGCAACCGATATACACAGAGAACCACGTGGAGGAACAGCACGCGAGTTTGGAGCGGGTGGAGCAGGAACAGAGGTGGACTGGAATGTCACACGACGGGGCAGCTGGAAGCTATTGGGAAAGGAGAGGGGTCATGGAAGAAGGCTCGGAACTTGAGCCGGGGCCTATCAACTTACAGTTTTTAGGGAAGGCTAAACGTCTCCTACTCCCCTTCTCACCGGGCTGGGGGAGGTCCCGTTCCTCAGCCTCTTCTTTTTTTTCTCAACTCTCAAAGATACTCTCCGCTCATTTTACTTCCGCGAGACCAGGAATTAGTGATGAGTGCCTGAATGGGTACACGAAGGCACTGAGTCGATGGAAGGAATTCTCTTTGGTCTTTGAAGAAAAAGCCGAGACAAAATTTGAATTTTTGCCACTCCCATTCATTTTATGTAATTTTATCTCCACTTCCCCGATGTTGATGAGGAAAACCGCCCCACCAGGTAGGTGGGTACAAAGGCAAATCAGGTTTTCAACTTCAGCTATTCCATCAGTCCTTGCGGGTGCCCTTAACTCCTTCCATCTTCACAATAGAGCTCTCTCTCCATCGCTACTCTCCTCAAGTCCTTCCTTCTCTTCTATTTCCCGGAGAAATCAGACTCGATCAGGAGGGGAATACTTAAATTTCTACCTACGAACATGTCTGACTCCATTCTTACCAGGAGCAGTGAAAGAGGCACCCCTATTATTATCCAGGACCATCATTCCCTTCTTGATTTCAACCGTTTTTTTTTTGTTTGAGACAGATTGTCATTCTTGTTGCCTAAGATCCAGGCTGGAGTGCAATGGCGCAATCTCGGCTTACTGCAACCTCCGGGTTCGAGTGATTCTCCTGCCTCAGCCTCCCAAGTAGCTGGGATTACAGGCCCTCACCACCACACCTGGCTAATTTTTGTAATTTTAGTAGAGATGGGTTTTCACCATGTCGGTCAGGCTGATCTTGAACTCCTGACCTCAGGTGATCCACCTGACTTGGCAACCCCAAAGTACTGGGATTACAGGCATGAACCACTGTGCCTAGCCCCAGCTAATTTTTTTGTATTTAGTAGAGACGGAGTTTTACCATGTTATATTTCCTTAGGGCCCTCATTTCATCATTTCATTTTACAGATCGATATTGGACATGCCAGTCACTCTTCTAGAAAGTGGGGATATAGCAGGGAACAAAACAGGAACAATCCCTGCCCTCAGGGAGCTTACATTCTAGTAGAAGCAGGACAATAAATAAGTAGAGTATGTAATACCTTAGATGGTGCTAAGAGCTATGGGGGCACATTAAGCAAGGAGGAGGTGTCTTCAGAGAAGGTAACATTCAAGCGACCTGAGGGAAGCTAGGCATGAACCACACATAAATGTAGAAAAAGAAGTTCTAGGCAGAGGGAAGAGTAAAAACAAAGGTCCTGAGGTGGGAGCAACCTGCCACTTTCGAGGAAGAACAAGGTCAACGTGGCTGGAGTGAAGAGAAAGACAGGGGAAGAGTGGGAGATTCGATCAGAGAGGTAAGGGAATGATCTAGCTTGTAGGGCCCCAAGGCCATTCTGAGGACTCTGGCTTTTGTAGGGTCCAGCCCTACAGGGTTCTGTGAGCCCCTCCTGTCTGGTGCGGAGATGAGAAATCGTAGAAATAAAAGACACAAGACAGAGATAGAGAAAAGAGAGTTTGGGCTCCAGGGTCCACTGCTACCCAAATCGTGGAGCAGTGGCCCCAAATGCCGAATGCCGAATGCCGGGACAGGATGCTCTCACTTTTATTAAATTGCAAATCCGGGGGCAGGGTAGGTAGGGCATGGCCTTGGTGGTCAGGGACTGGGGGCAGGGTAGATAGGGAGCAGCAGTGATAGGGTCAAGTACATCACCGGTCATTCAGGTAGGGGCTCAGGAATTTCTGGCACCCAAAGTGAGGTAAGGAGCATGATGCATCAGCACCTTTTCCATACTTATCAAGAAAGAACTAAAACATTAAGATTTGTATTACTATTACTATTACTGATTAGCTTTTCTAAGAAAAAAGGAAGCAGCTGCAGAAGGGAGCATGAGAGTAGACATGGAACGTGACTGCTGAAGCACAGCATCATAGAGACAGTTAAGCCCCTGGATGTCTGCAGGACTCCCTGACAGCTGTCAGGCCTTACCACAAGAGCTTGGAGAAGCAGTTTTCTCCTGACTTCCCCAGGAAGGAGATGTCTCAGCCACTTTGGACATCTCCTCCCCTAGCTGGCTAGACAGTGGGTGCTTTCACAGCGCTGGCACTGCCGCACAGCCGAGGTGCCCTCCAGCAGCCCTTATTCAGGCGTGACAGAGGGCTTAAAGCATCTTGCCTTAGTGCCATTCATTTCACAATGTCACCCCTGGTTCACACTTCCAACCTGAGAGGCATTAGTAAAAGAATTAAGATCACATATGAATAACTGATAACTACTACAGTTATATTTCTAGTTACTTTTTTTTTTTCTAGTTACTTTCTTCTTCATTATTTATATGGAAATAGGCTGAGGCCTTTTGCTCCAGCCTCTGTGCTTATGGGATCTCCACCCTACAAGCTTTTATGAAGCTATTGGAAGATTTCAAAACAGGGGTGTCCAATCTTTTGGCTTCTCTGGGTCATGGTGGAAGAATTATTGTCTTGGGCTACACATAAAATACACTAACACTAAAGATAGCTGATGAGCTTTAAAAATCACAAGAAAACCTCATAATGTTTTAAGAAAGTTTACAAATTTGCGTTGGGCCACATTCAAAGCTGTCCTGGGCCACATATGGCGCACGGACTTTGGGTTGGATAAGCTTGTTTTGAGCAGAGGAGGGACACAGATCTGATTTTTGTTTTAACAAAATGCCTTTTGCTACTGTAGAGAGAACAGATCTGAAGAGAGCAAAAGCGGGAGACCATTTAGGAGGTCATTGCATGCGTCTGGTTAGCATGGCAGCAGGAGAGGTAATGCAAAGTGGTGGATTTTGGAATTATTTTGAATGTGGACTAATACGATTTTCTGATGGATATGGCAGTGTGGGGAGGAGGGAGGAATTTTTCACTGGAACTTTAACTTAGAAGGGGAAGAGTATCACTTGAACCCGAGAGGTGGAGATTGTAGTGAGCAGAGATGGCACCACTGTACTCCAGCCTGGGCGACAGAGGGAGACACCATCTTAAAAAAAAGAAAAAAGAAAAAAAAAAAAAAAGAAAATCATATGTCTATTAGGCATCCAAATAGAGATGTCAAGAAAGCAGCTGGATGTGCACGTTTGTGGTCTGGGCTGGTGATAAAAGATTGAGAATCATCAGCTTGTGGAAGTTATTTATTTATTTGTTTTTTGTGAAGTCTCACTCTGTCGCCAGGCTAGAGTACAGTGGCACGATCTCAGCTCACTGCAAACTTTGCCTCCCTGGTTCAAGCAATTCTCCTGCCTTAGCCTCCCTAGTAGGTGGTATTATAGGTGCATGCTACCACACCTAATTTTCGTATTTTTAGTAGAGACGGGGTTTCACCATGTTGGCCAGGATGGTCTTGATCTCTTGACCTGGTGATCCATCCACTCCGGCCTCCCAAAGTGCTGAGATTACAGGCATGTGCCACAATGCCCAGCCCATATGGAAGTTATTTAAAGCCATGAGATTAGAATAATTACCAAGGGAATATGTGTAGATAGAAAAGAAGTTCAAAGACTGAATCCTGGAGCTTTTCAATATGAGTTTGAGATCAGTTGGAACCATCAGAGACAGAGGCATAGGGCCAGTGAAGTGAGGAAAAACCCCCAGGAGGTGATGGTATGCTGAAGGCCAAGAGAAGTAAACTTATGAAGGAGGAGGGAAAGGTCAATTGCATGAAATGTGGCCCATAAATTAAGATCAGTTTGAGAACTGATTGATGGATTTTTGTGTTTTTGTTTTATGTTTTGTCCCTCTCTTGCCCCCACGCTGGAAGGTATATAGAGCAAAGAGAATTGATTCAAAGTCATTGGTGACCTTGACAAAATGGTTTTGGTGGAGTGTCGGGGGTAAAAAGTTGGATTTTGAATGAGTTTAAGAAAGAATGGAAGGAGAGGAATGGAAAGAATATAGGCAACTCTTCGGAGCAGTTTTGTTGTAAAGGAAGGAGAGAAATTGGGTCAGAGCTAAAAAGAGAAGTAAGCTCAAGAAAACTTTTTTTTCTTTTGATTCGGAGTTTTGCTCTTGTTGCCCAGGCAGGAATATAATGGTGCCTCAGTCTCCCGAGTAGCTGGGATTACAGGCATGTGCCACCACGCCCGGCTAATTTTTGTATTTTTAGTAGAGACAGGGTTTCACCATGTTGGTTAGGCTGCTCTCAAACTCCTGACCTTGTGATCTGCCTGCCTCGGCCTCCCAAAGTGCTGGGATTATAGGCGTGAGCCACCATGCCCGGCCTCAGCAAAACTTTTTAGGTGGGAAAAAATAGTTACATGCTGATGGGAAAGAGCCAGTAGAGAGTTAAAATTGATGACGCAGAGGGGAGTGAGGAGAATGTCTGGAGAAAAGTTCGTAACGAAGGCAGCAGGATCGGGCAGAGTCCAGAAGCGGAGGGGCTGGCTTTGGTTAGAGGACTGATGGATCATGCAGAGTGAAGAGAGAGAAGCCATGATATTTGGGCATGGATTGAAGGTGGGAAGGTGGATTGATGTGGGGGAAGCTGGCAGATATTGTCTCTTCGTGGCCTTGTTTTCTCTTAGCGAATTAGGAAGCAGAGTCAGCTGACTCTGAGGATGAAGGGGAAAGGCTTGGAAGTTTGAACCTGGAGGAGTTCTAAAAATGTCACTGACAGCAGTGATTCTCAAACTTGAGTGTGTATCAAAACCACCTAGAGAATCTATTAAAGCCCTCTCACAGCCTGGCCAACATAGAGAGACCCCCTCTATACAAAAAATAAAATAATTAGCCTGGTGTGGTGGTGTGTACCTGTGGTCCAGCTACTCAGGAGGCTGAGGTGGGAGGATTACTTGAGCCTGGGAGGTCAAGGCTGCAGTGATCATGCCACTGCACTCCAGCCTGAGCTACAGAGTGAGACCCTGTCTCAAACCAACAAAAAAAGCCCTCCTGTCCCCGAGAGTTCTGATTCAGTAGGTCTAGGATGGGCCTGGAAATCTGCATTTCTAGTAAGTTCTGGGTGATGCTGCAGTCGCCTTCATGGGGGTGACCCTTTGGGAACTACTGTGTTCTAGAGTGGGGGAGTGACTGCAGTGTGGGAATGCAGTGTGGCTGTCAGGCAGCGTCAGGGCCCCAGCTGAGGTTACACATCATGACTTGAAAGTGTCTTCAGTCACGTCCCACTCACAATCACTTGCACATGTTTGCAATCCTATCTCTTTAAAACTTCCGTTTTCTACTGACTTTTCCTTTGACATATAAAAGGCTCCGCACCATTCCTCTTTAAAAAGTGAAAATCTTTAATTGAAGTTCGAGCTCTCCCTTCTTCACATTCTCTTGGGAGAATGTTGGATTTCCCCACCTCCTAGTCTATGCAGCATCTACAGCACATGTGCTCTCCCTCCAACCTCAGGACACTTCTCGTAGGCATCATTGCTGATCTAGATGCTAAATCCAATGGGCACTTTTTAGCTGTAGTCAGTCACTTCGCCACCTACAAATCTGATACCTCCAGCCATTTCCTCTTTGAGCTGTCTCTTCCTTTAGGTTTTGGGGACACACCGCTTTTCTGGCTTTCCTCCTGACAGCTGTCCCCTCCCCATTCTCCTTTTCCTCTGATGTTCCTTCATCCTCCTTTCAGGGAAGCTTATAGCCCAGTGGTGGTTATATGTCAGCTTGTAGATTTACTGGGATAACTTCTGATTTCTCTTGTTCCTAGCTGTGAGACATGAAACAGTTATATCCATTTCTTCACATATTTACAAAAATGAGGCTGGGCATGGTAGCATGTGCCTGTAGTCCCAGCTGCCTGGGAGGCTGAGGTGGGAGGATGGCTTGAGCTGAGGAGTTCAAGTCCAGCTTGGGCAACATAGGGAGACATCATCGCTTAAAAGAAAAAAAAGACAGTAGTAGTACCTGCTTTACAGGGTTCTCATTTGAAGATCCAATGAGTCACTATGCATAAAAAGCTTACAACAATGCCTGACACATAGTGAATATATAAGGTCATCACTCCAATCTGCTACTCATCTGTCAGCTGCTGTATGTATAGCCTGATGATGCCAAAAATCTGTATTTTTCAGGTAGCCTCATTCCTGAGCAGCAGTCATAATTATCCACCTGCCTCCTCACATCTCTAGATGTCTCATCGGCATCTCAGTCTTGACATGTCCAAACCTTCAACTCGGCATTTTTCACTGTTTGCCCCCTTTCTTTATTCTCCATATCCATGAATGGCACCACCATCTGTCCAGTTCCCTGGCCAGAAATTTGTTAGTTTCTAGCTTCTCTCAGTCCCTTAATTCTAATTTTTTTTCCTTTTTCTTGAGATAGAGTCTTGCTCTGTGGCCCAGGCTGGAGTGCAGTGGCATGATCTCAGCTCACTGCAACCTCACCTTCTGGGTTCAAGGAATTCTCCTGCCTCAGCCTCCTGAGTAACTGGGATTACAGGCTTCTGCCACCATGCCTGGCTAATTTTTATATTTTTTTGTAGAGATGGGGTTTCCCCATCTTGGCCAGGCTTGGTCAGGTCTCGAACTCCTGACCTTAGGTGATCCACCCGCCTTGGCCTCCCAAAGTGCTGGGATTACAGGTGTGAGCCATTGTGCCTGGCCACAGTCCCCTGATTTTATAGTGGTATTATCTTATTCTATAGACTTAGATATGTGGGAGCACACATAAAATATTGTTTTCTGTAATATAACTACATTTATAATTATTTTTTACACATATTTTTATTTTTCTGAGATTAGGTCTCACTATGTTGTGCAGGCTAGTCTTGAACTCCAGGGCTTAAGGGATCTTCTGGCCTCAGCATCCCAAGTAGCTGGGATTACAGGTGTATGTCACAGTGCCTGGCTCTTACGTTTCTATTCTGAGCCAGCTCCTATTTACTGGAGTGTGGGATGCTTAATTTTAATCCATTGGTGGAATCTCCCCTCCTCTCTCCAGGGATTGCCTTAATTCTGGGAGGGTGTTTCTTATGTATATATTTTGCCAAATAACTGGCGGAAGTGGCTTCTGTTATTAAGTGGCCACCAAGTGTCCTCTGAGATATCCCTTGCCTGGCTACTGCTTGTGTGGCCTCTTTAGGTCTGGTGTCTCTCTGCTACCTCTCGGCTGCTTTTGGACACAGGGAACATTCTACTTCTCCCATTCTGAGAAAGCGTGGTGCTGTCCATGGTTCAAGCTGCCTCCACGATAGGCTACACTCTGCAGTCATCTCTTCTTTTGGGGGTCTTGTCTCCTTCCTAAGGCTCTACCTAGGATATAGGTCTGGGGCTCCACTGACATTGGATCTCGAAAACCTACTTGGGGGTTTTGCTCTCTGCACTCAGGTGCCTGAGGACAGAACCCACCCTCGTCTGTGCTGTCATTGCCTGTGTGTTCCCACTAGCTCTTGCCTGTGAGTGGTGCTGGTGCCATGGAACGGGGGTGAAGGCCTTGCTTTACCCAGAATATTTCCTTCACATCTTCTATCAGACTGGGAGTCCTTCCTGTTTTCCTAAAAGCCTGTCTAGGCAGTTGAAATTCAAAAGCCAGAAGGTTTTTGTTTTGTTCCATCTTTTCACTGAGGAATCAGCACAGAAGCTGGGCTGCTCAAAGTGAGGCTATAGAGGAGAAGGGGAAGAAACTACAAATAATATTGTAAAATGTCATGTTATCATATCCCCTACATCCAGTGGGGGCCATGGATTCTGCCTCTTTAGCCCCCCTAAAATTTTCCCCTTTTCACCCATGTTGCTTCTGTCATAGTTTGGGGGTTTTATTGTTAAGTTTTCTCTGGTTTGACGGTATTGCCTTCCTAATCATGGAGTTCGGTTGTGGAAACAGTG